CTTTACTCAGTCTGGCCGAGGCTTGGAGGACTTAGTCGGGCTGAGGCTTGGTTTAACTCAGTCTGGCTGAGCTCTTCATGCTCAGTCTGGCTGAAGCTTGGCTTAAATCAATCTGGCTGAACTTTTCATGCTTAGTCTGGCTGAGAGTTGAAAGGCTCAGTCTGGTTGAGACTTAGAAGGCTTAGTCTGGCTGAGGCTTGGGTTAACTCAGTCTAGCTGAGCTCCTCATGCTTAGTCTGGCTGAGACTTAGAGGGCTCAGTCTGGCTGAGACTAGGCCTAAAACTTGTCATTGAAGCATAACACAGATAATGGAGATGTGAAATTGTTGTCATTAAGGCACAGTCTGTCGATCACAAATTTACACCGTGTATGGAAAGGGAAAAAATGAACAAGTGTGCAGATCAGCAAAATAGAATATACAACAATTGAATGATACAAGAACAGGAGACGTCATTTTACTGGAAGTAACGTTTCAAGTGTTCAACATTCCATAGGTGGGGGAGGTCTCTGCCTTCCATATCTTGGAGACGGTAAGTACCCGGGCGGGGTCTGGCCTTGATAACGTAAGGTCCTTTCCATTTGGCTGCTGGCTTGCCCTCGGTCGGATTTTTAGTGGCAAGGGTTGCTTCACGCAAGACGAGGTCTCCCACTGTGAACTCTCGAGGCCGGACTTTGCAGTTATAATGTGTTCTCATTCTCTGTTCGTATGATGCCCGTCTGATAGCAGTTGCCTCTTGGAGCTTTTCAACTAGGTCCAAATCAGCCTGATGCAACTCTTCGTTTAGTTCTGGATTCGGATATAGAACTCGAGGGGTTGGCAGGCTGATTTCCACTGGGATGACCGTCTCGACGCCAAATGTTAGGCGAAAAGGGGTCTCCCCAGTGGGGGTTCGAACTATCGTTTGATAAACCCAGAGCACGTTTGGTAATTCCTTAGCCTAGAGTCCTTTGGCGGCTTCTAACTTAGTCTTGATGATCTTCAGAATGGAGCGATTGGTGACTTCAACTTGCCCATTGGCTTGGGGATGGCCTGCGGAAGAAAAACATGGTCTAATGTTGATATGGGGGCTGAATATTGGGAGTTGTAAAGAGGCCGAATAGTTGAACTTAGAGAGTCGAAATATGTATAGCACTCGGCCCCGTCTCGCATGTTCAAATTCTACCCCATTCGGCCAAATAGCCGGTTAAGCAAGGGGCTGAGAGAAAAGTGGTTTGCTACAAAAGAAGCCGAATAGCAAATTGAAAGTGGGCCCAATCCCGAGGCCCAAGAAAGAAAAGATATAAATAGAAGAACATCAGCCAGAAAAAGGTATGTGAGAATCAATATACTTAACTTAAAATACAAGTAATCCAAAGAGAGTAGAGACTAACTTGTCCGTCGGAGTCCTAATTTCGGCACCCCCAACCGGAGTGTTCATTTCTTTTTAGGTGACAATCTGAGGATCGCGAGCGCCTCCCAAGATCTGAAAAGTATTTCCAAACCACTTCCCTACAATTGGCGCTGTCTATGGGAATACTCAAATACATCCATGGCGGGCATAACGGAAGACCCTCCGATAGTCACTGACGAAACCACACACAGAGACAACCTCACTCCAACAAACATGCTTGGACCAGAGACTATCGCCGCAAGACGCGCCTTGAACTTCGCCTCGCCCTCAAATTCAGCGCATGAGACAATGTAAGTGATCATGGAACAAGCAAAGCAAAACGAATAGAGGTTGGAGAACATGAACATGAGAAATTTTGCTGAGTTTGAGAAATTTATAACGTGCACATAAGCTGCAGGTAAGCCATAGCCGTTAAATCTTGAAGTTAAGTTGGTTATGATTTCTATAGCTATGTTGCTAAGTTATTTGACATAATAGTGCTCACTTCCCTTAAGTGATATTAATCTATTCAATTGATATGGTAACGGGTAATAAACTGAAAAAATGACTAAGAGTCAATTTCATGAATCTACACATTGGGTCGATCTGTTTCTGTTCAATTAATCAAACCAGAAGTGTATTAAAAAAGAAACCTTTGAAGCAGAGTGGAGATGTCCTTTTCGCTGATTGAACCCTTTTTGTGCTTCTTCGTCTTATCAATCATTGTGATTTTTCAACTGAAATCGCATCACAAAAATCAAAAAATTAAAATTCAAAAAGAATACCTTTATAGCCAAATATTAATAAACATAAACAGAAATTCCAAATGTACAAAGGCGTGTAAATGAATCGAATCAATTAATCAAACCAGAAGTGTATTAATAGAAAATTGAAAATTTTTAAAACATACGATACGAATCTGTGCAGTCAATGCATCTTTCTTAGTGTCATCCTATGCCTTCCCATAGCAAGTTCAAGGTCCACCACATAAAGACAAAGTACCGTGTTAGGCAACTAAAAAACTGATAGCTGAGGAAAAAGAACACAAATCATGACACGACCACAATATGCAATTTTGTCAGCAAATCCTGCAAGGCACTGAGAATCTGCAGATGATCTTCTCAGTTATTCACTGTGCAAGGGACTCGAGAAATGCAAACAAGGACAGACAGCTAAAGGGCAACTCTGAGGCAAACTCATATTTTTCTCTCTTTAAATTCAAGATTGCAGGCAATATTTCTAATTGAATGGACTAAGACAGAACATATTAATGGCTTACCGATTCCCAGAACACCACTATCAGAGCATTTTTGACATGCTGTCGTAGGAGGTGGAGTTGGAAATAGGCACCGATAACATGGACCTCCATTGTAATTGTAAACTGTAAGCTACACAAATGATTTGAGGATGCAGTTGCAGTAAGAATTTGAACAATATAAAACAAGAAGAAATTCCACAAAGCTAACTTTGAAAAGGACAAGCAGCATATTTTGACTTTTTTGTGTGCTTTTACCTGAAGGTCTCATTACAACTTCTAAATCACATATTAACACCTGCAGTTTCAGGTCCTTAGAAATAAAACCAACCCCAAGTTTAACCAATGACTGCCGTAAGCTGACTCTGATTTCACCAACAGATACAGATTCAACAGCACCCTGTGAATTGTCAAAGTCATAATAACGTGAACAAACATAATCCTATAGATGCACTCTGTCATCAGATAAAATATTCCATTGACTCTTTTCTTATACAAGTATGATGTTTAATAAAACTCAAGCAAAAGCCAAATAGTTATATCTCCAACTAATTATATCCTTTTAAAACCAAAATTGCTTTCAGCCTTGGTAAAGGGAACCTTTATAAATAAAAAATGAAAAACCAAGAATAATATGAAAGGAAAAAACAAAAAAAAGGTTGACATAGATGGAAAGCTTGTACAATAAAAATTATAAAATAAAAACTCACTGCTACCAGCAAGAACAGAGGTATCAAAATATTCTCAGTCATCGTTCATACCATTTTAAAAGCCATCCAAAGAGAATCATTGCCAAGACATAAACTCAACTCAACAAGCCTTTGTCCCAATTACTTGGGGCCGACTGCATGGATCCATTTCCTCCAGTTGATTCCCAAATTAATTAGAGAGACATGATAGCCAAAAAATGAATAAAGAATACAGCTTCAAAAGTGTTATGATGAGAAAGAATTCACAGAGAACAGTTAGACAGTCATTTTTTATTGGATGTATGATTTTCCAATATAAGCACAATGAAAATCATGGCCTATAATTCTTCCTAAAATATTAGAGAGACATGATAGCCAAAAACTGCAATAATAATGTGAAGACCACATAAATCTTCCTAAAATATGCACCATGAAATTTCCTAAAGATTAGCCCCATATTAGTAGAATGTAATATGTATCCATCAAGAAATTAATATCAACGTGATCTCAGAACAGGATTTTATCGAAGCATCAAAGTGCGTCCACCATTAAAAAAAGAAAGCAGAAGAATGTTTGTGAGTGCATGTCGTACTTGTAATCCATTATTCTGACAACTGGTGGATCTGCATCTGGCGATAATATTACCTGCATTAGTAACAATAGAAATATAATCAAACAAACTCAAGCACAATGAAAGAAAGAAAAATAAAATGAATGCTTACGTGCGAAACGATAAATTATCATATCTTTAATGACGATATATATCACTAGTGAACCACGAACATCCATCACCAACCTGCGAACAAAAGGATAAAAACATGAGTATTTTATTAATGCATTAACTTCAACAATAATATACAAATATAGTTAAAATTAATCAAAAAATTGTTGTGAAGCTTTCATATATATCAAGCTATTGTATACAAAGGTTGTAATGCTAGGATTGTAATACAAAGTTTATATAATTTTATATTGTTGACACATGTTAGGATTGGTTAAATAAAGTAAATCAATTTAATGAGGTGTCAAATTTACCTCTATTTCAACCAAGAGAAGTTTCATCCTCCCTTACACCCGATGCATCCTCACCAGCGTTGTTGCTTGGAACTAACCCCGGAATGTTTGCTAGATCTATCCCATTTTTTGCTGCCAACATTTGAATGATAGTTTGCATTGTACTCATGCTTTGAGCCTGGTCAACTAACTACTTTCCTTGGTCAGCTAATTGTTGTCGCTGGTCAACTAACTGCTGTTGAAGAACAATCACCTCGGAGTTAGGAGCCTCAAAATGTGTAGAAGATGAAGTACTGTCCTTGCGGATCCCGTATCCCTTCAAGAAGACCGACCTCTTCCCAAGTACTTCTCTAGAAATCTGCTCCTCAGACAATGGATGTGTGACACTAGGTTGAGATTGCTCAGCGATCTTTGAAACCATAGTGGCCTATGAATGAAACATAAATAAGCTTAAAACATAATATCAAAATTCAAACATTTATTATTGAAATTGAAATAGTTATGGTTACATGATGTTCCTCAGCTGTGTTATTTATCCACACTCCCCCATGTCGGTGACGTTTGTGGGTGTCCTCGAATAGTTTCGTAATAGTCGGTTTGCTTCCTTGTACCTTTCATTTCATTAGATTTTCTATTCAATCAAAAAATTATATATTTATAATTTAGTATGTTCAAATTTGTAAATCTACACTTACAGTGATAGATGCTCGCGATGCAAATGATCTCGAGCCACTCGTATGATTATACTTCACACAACCTCTCGCTTTCATCGCATTCTCTGACTTTACCTACAAATAAAAAAAAAATTAGGTATTGATATACAGGAAGATGTTACTTTAGTAAATATTTTTATAAATACCTTCCAATCATCAGTTTCCCACAAATTGTCAATCATCCATTCCCAATCATCTTTTGTACAAGGATATAGTATCTGACTTTTGAGGTCAGATACATTGTTTTCTTTAAGGGATTTGTAGTGTGTGTGTAATCTATTTTTCCATTCACTGTACAAAGTTTGGCACTTATGATCAATAATACATCTCACATCCACATCATTATTGTAGTCCCCAAAATCAAAAGTTTGCTGCAATTGGAAATAATAAAATTCAATATATTTTATATATCATTGCGATTAACATAAATAACATGTTAAATATATAACACATATATTTGAAATTACCTCAACTCTTGTAACAATGGACTCTCTTAACCCAAAGGCAATTTCTAGCCATCCATCATTTTGAACTGGGCATGAACTCGAATTTGTTGACCAAGAGCAGCTGCTAGCGGTGTGGCGTATTCCCCTTCTATTGCTTTGGTCAAACGGTTAAGTGTAACGGGTATTCGATCACCACGTTCTTTTCTAATCTTCTCAACATTCTTTCCTCGGGTCGGTCCTCGTACACGTTTCTTGCCCAAAACTGGAATTGATGCTATTATGACCAAAATTTTATTCAATTTAGTCGACATAAAACATGAATGCACTAAATAAATATTGAGACAAGAAATTATCATTTCATTTAAGTGGTCATTTATTTCTCACCTCCACTGTTAGTCACAATACATGGACTTGAAAGGTGGTTAGGTTGAGTGGCGGAGGTAGGGAGCTGATCGGGCCTAGTATGTAAGGCGGGAAGATGGATAGGTTGGGTCGAGACCTCAGGTGTGCTCTCTGAATGATTAACTTGTGCAGTTACAGGTCGTCTCGGAAGAGTAAGTGTATCTTCATCAACAATACTTCTCTTTTCCCTAAGTGTTTGTAAAGCTATTAGGCGAGCTGCACACCTATTTGTTTTCCTACCGAGACCCATATGAATATCCTGACATAATATAAAAAAGAATTGTTAGTACAGTTTCAATAATTTAAGGTTGCTTAATAAAAAATAAATTTGAAATAACTAAACATACCACAAGTAATATAACAAGTGAAAAAAATAGAGAAATTACTTTTTAAACACACATTTATTACCTTAATCACTTGAGAATCAAAAGGCTCGCCATTATCACTTGAAGAACTCAGTCCTTCATCATCATCAAGTGGTTGATAGTCCTCGTCATTATCAGTTTCGCCCACCTTTCTCTTTCCCACCCTACAACTTTCACTATTGTCCTTTTCAATAGAACCAAACATTGAATTCATTGAGCCATTACTTTTTCCACTGGTGAATCCAAGGATTTCTTTCTAAGCTCAGTTAAACCATCAAACTTCTGCTCTGGTATATCCCATACTCCCCGATGCTTAACACGTTCAACGACTCTCCAATTTTTGCCTTTGCTGGTATCATTGACATAGAATACTTGTCTTACTTGACTAGGTAGAACAAATTGGTCATCTTTATACCAAAGTCTTGTAACATCAATACTTGTGACATGTTCATCGGAGTATATTCTATTCTTGTGACCGGTGTCATACCATTCACATTGGAACAAAACCACTGTACCCCCATGCAAGTATTTCAATTCCCATATTTTGCACAAGTAGCCGTAAAAATTAATTTGGTTCCCATTATGGTCCCCTTCTACGACCAACCCACTATTTTGGCAGGTACGACGATTTTCACGGTTTCTAGTATGGAATCGAATTCCATTGTAGATGCACCCAGAATAAAAGTCAATTACCGATCCAGGCCCATTTGCTAATGACCACAATTCGTCAGTTGCTTCAGGTGACCCTTTCGTTCGCAAATCATTCATCTACATAAAACACCATATGACAAGTGTACTAAGTTAATGTGAATTGAAAGTTTCAACAATTGTATTCAGTTATTTTCTTTAGTATATCTTACACGATTTTTGAACCATTTTGGAAATTCTTCCCGTTGTACCCGACTTATGTCACGTCCTTGTACATTATGTAAAATATTCTTCTGCTCCCTACCCAAGGAAATGTGATATACGTAATTAACTTTGAGAGTTCGAAACAAAATGGAACGATTATGCATAAACGTAATTAAACTTAAATACATAAATATATGGCTCCACCTCAGAGCTATTGTACAACACAAACCAGTGAGCCATTTCTCGTTCATTTTGCGAAGGGTCAAGAGCCCTTGTGATAGGTGAGAATAGACGAGCATTTTGGGTAAAGACCTCCATCCCGGGACCACGTTCACCACCATCATCATTTCGTTCAGGTTTATCAATCCCTTTTAAGTACATTGAACAAAAAGTAAGACACTCTTTGACAATGTAAGCCTCAGCGATAGAACCTTCTGGACGTGCTCTATTACTGACATACCCTTTCAAAGTCCCGAGAAACCTTCAACAAAAATTGACAATGAAAATTATGCTTCTTGATGCAAGAAAATTACTTCTTAAACATTAGTCTTTTATGGGTGGATTTTTGTACAATAGTTTAGTTATAACAAATTAATAAATAGCCATATGTTCATAATGATTACCTTTCAATCGGGTACATCCATCGATATTGCACCGGTCCAGCAAACATGGCCTCATGGGGCAAGTGAACAGCCAAATGGACCATCACATCAAAGAAAGCTGGAGGAAAAATTTTCTCCAACTTGCAAAGTATGAGCACAATTCGTTCTTCCATTTTTTCCAAATCAGTCTGCCTTAATGTTTTTGAGCACAGTTCTTGGAAGAAGTTGCCCAACTCAAATAGTGTTGTACAGATCTCCTTGTTCACAAAACCACGCATGCCAATTGGTAGAAGTCGCTGAAGCAGGACATGACAATCATGGCTTTTCATGCCTGATAATCTTCCATTTTTAGAAGTCACACATCTTGAGATGTTTGCTGCATAGCCATCTGGATAACTAATCGACTTCAAGAATTCACAAAAACCATCTATTTGTCGAGAATCCAATGTGTAGGCTGCCCGAGGCTTTACAACGGATCCGTTATCTTTCCTCTGTAGATGCAATTCTTGCCTTATGCCCATTTCTTGCAAATCATCACGTGCTTTGTACGTGTCCTTGTTTTTCCCATCTATGGCCAACATCGTCCCGTAAAAGTTTTCACAAATATTCTTCTCAATGTGCATGACATCAAGATTGTGTCGGAGGTTTAATTTCTTCCAATACGGTAGCTCCCACATTATGCTTTTCTTTGTCCAATTCAATTCTTCAGACTCTCGTGGTCTTTTCTTGTTGGTAGGATCCTTTCCAAACTTGACTTCCCGCAATTGATCCAATTGAGCCATTACTTTTTCCACCGGTAAATCCAAGGATTTCTTTCTAAGCTTAGTTAAACCATCAAACTTCTTGTCTTTCCTCCAAAGGTGGTTATCAGGCAAGTAAGCTCGATGACCCACCCACCCAATCTTACTGATCAACCCGCGTGACAATGGATTATCATTACAAGGAGGGCAAGACAAATAACCTTTAGTTCTCCATCCGGATAAGTCACCATATGCAGGGAAGTCATTTATGGTCCACATTACAGCTGCATGCATCCGGAAGGTCTGTTCAGTGGAGGCATCGTAAGTCATCACGCCATTCTCCCATAACTCCTTCAACTCATCAATCAATGGCCTTAGGTAGACATCAATATCAGTCCCTGGTTGATTAGGTCCAGGAATAAGTAAGGACATCATGAAAAATGGGGCCTTCATACATCTCCAAGGTGGGAGGTTATAGGGCATGAGTATGACAGGCCACATGCTATAGGAAGTGCTCATGTTCCCAAAAGGGTTGAACCCATCGGTGGCTAGGCCCAACCTAACATTGCGAGTCTCCTGGGCAAACTCTGGATAATGCAAATCAAATTCCTTCCACTCTTTACAATCAGCCGGATGCCTCCCTACACCATCATCCACACGCTTATCATTATGCCATCTCATGTCTTTTGCCGTCTTCTTAGACATGTACAATCTTCTCAACCTAGGTGTCAATGGGAAGTAACGCAATATCTTGTGAGGGATCTTCTTACCCTTGCTATCATTTACTCTGTACCTAGATGCTTGACATGTGGGACATTTTTCCAAGTGAGCATTCTCCTTCCAGAATAGTACACAATCATGTTTACATGCATCGATGAGCTCGTACCCCAAGCCCAAGTCACGTACCAACTTCTTGCACTCGTAAATTGACCCTGGCACCACGTGGCCTTCTGGTAAGAATCGCCTTTGTATCTCCAAAACCTTGTCAAAAGACTTATTACTCCACCTATTTTCTACCTTCACATGTAGCATCTGAATAACGAATGATAACAATGTATCTGAGTTTTTGCAACCTGGGTACAAGCAACATTGGGAAGCATCTAGCAATTTATCAAAATGTCATACATCCTCTCTTTCTAGAGTATCACCCTCCATAAAATTCCCCCTCTGATAGTCCTCTATCAGTTCATCATATTCATCTTCATCCTCATCATTCTCACCATTGCTTTCATCAAGGTTATTGTGTTCTGGAAGTTCACCGTGTTCTAATCAAGTGGTGTATGATACTATCATCCCACTTATGAGCAAATGAGCCTTCACACTATCATACTCCTGCTTATAAAAGTTACAACAATTCATGCATGGGCACTTAATCTCTCTAGCCTCACCCAAATGAGCCTTTGCAAATTCAATAAATGAGTTCACCCCATCTACATATGGCTGACTGAATCTATCAGAAATTAACATCCAACTCCTGTCCATGTCTGATCATAAGATAGTAGTTAATATCAACAGGACACAACCTTTTATTTTTTATTTTTTATTTTTTATTTATTTATTCTTTAAACATGAAGACAAAGTAGTTAATATAAGTGTAGAGTGACACATCATCGTCAATAAAGGTGCATCTACCTATAGGCTTTTTTAATTTTGTATCAAGGTTTCGACCAACAAATCCTTTAAAGTTCTATTATATTGCATATATTATGTATTAAGTTAAGTGTTTTTTACATTTATCAACAAAAAAAAAGAAAATATATATTTTTTTAATGTCTGTTAAATGGTAAAAGGCAGTTGGCATGGCAATATACCATTCCAATTCATTCCAATATCTTTCTTAAAGGACATTACCTAATGGGCTCCTACAAATTAAGGGCATAGGGAAGGACTAAGGGTGGCTACAGGCCTAACCTCTGTAATATTTGTGGGAAGGGACTACATTTATAATTCCAACCCATATTTTCATACACGGGAACTCAAGCATTTACCACTACACCAATCAATACCCCCTCTTTGATGAAACTTCTATGTTTATCTAAAAGGGATTTTCAGCTCTCCTAAAAAGCCCTACCACAAATTACATCCAGCCACTGCCTCCAAATTTTCTATTAATGAACCAATTGAAAAGTCGGGAACCAAAGTGACACAAACCTCAAAGTATAGGGAGCGTTAGTATAATTCGCCCAAGATAAAAAGATCAAAAATAAAAGTGCACTTTTGTAGTACACCCAAACACTCTCTTAGCTTAAAAAACCATCTAAAACCCAACTTAAAAAACTAAGCTATTTAAACTTTTTTTGAGCTGAAAAGGAAAATAAGCTGAAAACAAAATAAGTGGAACCAAACACCCTACAATTTTACGTACAACTACTAACGCATGTGTTTTCAAAATTTAAACAAAATAAGTTGCAAATAAGTGGAAACCAAACTGCCTTTTTATATACAACTACTAAAGCATGTGTTCTCAAATTTTAAATTAAGTTGGTTGCAAATTTTAACTACTAAAGCATGTGCTTTCAATTACTACATTGTATTTATGCTTTTATATTCACATTCAAACACGTAAAAAATCAGAAGTTGGCCCTTAAGCTTTATGGTATAATATCTTACTGCATCCTCTATTTCTAACATTACATTGTCTCCAGAGTGTTCTTATACTGGATGCAATAGACCATTTCCTTTGTGAGACAGAATTTCAACTCCTGAATAGGTGCTTCAGTGAGCAAGGCTACATGAAAGAGAATCCCAGTAAGCTTCAGCATGGAAGTGGGTTAGTTAAGGTATGACAAATAAGCCACCTCTATGCCCTGGGGGCAAGGATGAAATGTCAACACTCATAGTAGGGGCACTAACAAGCTCAGAATTGGTGACTTGTATTGGGTTTAAGATGGAACAGATTTTAAAGCCTCTCTTATTCATATGCACCAGTAGAAGTGTTCTTATTTTATTACCTTACATAAATAGTCACTATGGGTTCTTATTAATATTTGAAGTAAGAGGCCCACTGAGAAGATGAATAA